CAGGGATAATGCTGTTCCCTAAAATCGCTTCAGTTTTTGTTTTGTTTTTTTTTTTTTTTCTGCCCAGCCTAAATAAACTTAGTTTCTTTAACTTTTCTTCCTAGGGACTTTATTTCTAACATTTTCAATGATGGATGATTGTTATTTTATAACTTTTTAAAGTTTTTCTATTTCACATGCCATATTTTAGAAAGACATTAAAAGGGACACAGGACAATAACTTTGGGTGTTGTAGACTTTACCACACTGCTTATTCAGTTCTTTCTAGTCAGTACCTCCCAGTCTTTGATGCTGCCTCGGCCTTTTCATTCCAGGGCTTCTCTGTGTGAGGTAGAATATGTCGAGGAGACAAACGCAGGGTTGTGTGTTCACCCTGTTTTGCAGAGGTCTTTTCCAGGAGTGTGGTTTGGAGATTGCTTGTGCTCTAAAGAATATGAAAGAAGGCTGATATTGTCTTGAGAGACAGAAATGTGGCTGGCTCCTCACAGACACAGCCTCACAGGGCCATTCCTCATGAGCCCTGCTCACAGAAGTGATCCCTTGCTTCCCATAGCAGACCTGTTATCTCCTCTCTTCTGTGATCTAGAGAGGTCATTTAATTTTCTTTAAAAAACTTGTTTTTTTTATTAAGTAATCTCTACTCCCAACATGGGGCTCAAACTCAACCCCGAAATCAAGAGTCACATGCTCTACTGACTGAGCCAGCCAGGCACCCTTAGGTCATTTAATTTTCAATCCATGTTCCTATCCCTCCTGCCTAGTTTCTTCTCAGGACCATGCTTTATTCCTTCCCATTTGCTCATTAGTTAAATGGCAGACTGTACTGAGTTGAAGTTGCGCATCATCAGAATGCTCCGTGATTCCGTCCCCAAGGCTGCCCTTCACTACTGCGGTGTTCTTGGAGCAGTGACCAGTTAGGAGTGCCCTGCTGGAGCAGACGAAAAGGCTTCTGATTTATTAATTTTTGCCTATAGGTTGAAACAGGACATTATTGAAATTTTATGAATTTATTCCTCACAAAGCTAGATTAGTCTTTATTTTTGAATTTGTTTTGCCTAGCCGTAACAGGTATGGAGGAACCAGTTGAATAGGTCTATAGCAGGAAAATCCTGTTTCAAAGCATATACCCCACAGTTTTCTGCTGCAGTTTTTAGGTACTTTATCAGGCCCTCATATGTTTTAACAAATAATTGCTAGTGGCCCTCATTGCTGATGAAACTAGGCAAGGTATTTCTTGTTTTAAGGCAGTCTGGTCTGCAGCGTGCAACCCTCCTGATTTAATGAGGGAATCTTTAATTAAATTCTCCCTTCTTTCTGGGTGCCTACCTGCCTTTCCCCGTCCTGGGGCTGCACACGCCAATGATAAGATCACAGGGAACTTATCTTTAAAGGTCAGAGGTAAAAATAAGTACAGTATTAAAAACATCCAATCTTTTAGTATGATTATTTAGAGTTCTTCTCCTTTTGAAATGAAAGGCTTTCCATTTGCTATTTTGTTTTTTCTTGCTTGTCAGCAATATCTGCATGCACCCTGTGATGTCATGAACCTGAACTTTGGGGGCAGGACTGCTGGCGTTCAGGTTTTTGCCCTCCTCCAGCTGTGAAATACCATGAATAATAATATTGACCTTATGGAGCTGAAGTGAGAATTAAACTCTCTGATATGTGAAAGTGCTTTGTTATTAACTTTAAATACATAGATAGATGGAAATGGCAAGTATTAAGTGTTGATATTTATGCCCAGAATTGCCAAATGCCATGTCTTAGTGATTTCAGCCAGGATATTCAGAAAGACCATAAGGTTAATAGATTATTAAAGGAACACCTCCCACCCTCTGAAGTGTTTCTGTTTCTGCTACTGTCATTCTCTATGTGTGTCTCTATTTCTTTTAATGACTTTACATGATCTCTCAACTCTAGTAGCTTTCTACAACTGGATATAACAGAGACGAATCTTTTAATTATTAATTACCGCTGCTATGTAATCTTAAGTAAGTAAAACCAAATGGGAACACTGTATAGTTTTATCTCTTTAGATAACTCACATAATTTTCTTTTTCTTTTCTTTTTTTCTTTTTAAAGATTTTATTTACTTATTCGACAGAGAGAGAGAGCATAAGCAGGGGGAGCAGTAGAGGGAGAGGAAGAAGCAGGCTTCCCGCTGAGCAGGGAGCCTGACGTGGGGCTCCATCCCAGGACCCTGAGATGGTGACCTGACCCGAAGGCAGACGCTTAGCCATCTGAGCTACCCAGGCGCCCTAATTTTCTTTTTCATTGATCAGTTAATTCTTGAGTTAATGATTTTCAGTAGATCTTTCCCCTCCATTGATTTGTGCTTTTGTTGCTGGGTAGTTATAGCAGGGCTACTAAAGGACTTTTCTAATTCAGGCACATCTTTTCCTCTTTCTTTTAGAAATGGATTTCGTAGAATTTTATACTCACTTTGTCCCCAGAAAGCTACTGAAAAGTATATGATACATATATGAGAGTTCATAACTATAAAATGAAGCAAATACTCTGTTAGGATGACCTTTTAAAAAAATAATGGGGAATGTGGGGTCATTTATAGTGTGAGGATGGAAATTTGGAGAATTTTAGGCACTTCAGAATCAGACTGGCATTTACAAGCTCTAGGTTTGTTTGTTTAATTTTCTCCTTTTAAAAAAATCTTCCTTTTCCCACCAACTTGCTTGGGAAATGACAAATCACCACAACTTCGGGTTTTTAATGGCCAGGCAAACCCAGCCTTAACTCAGCTGTACCTCTACAGGCTTGGCCGATTGCATCTTCTGTGCCTTTATCTTTAAAGATTTTATTTACTTATTTGACAGAGAGAGAGAGCATAAGCAGAGAGAGTGACTATCAACTGAGCACATTGTGTTAGTTCAGACTCTTGAGATTACAAGCGATAGCCCGCAAGTCAAACAAACTCAGTTAAGAGTGGGTGCAGGGGAGGGATGGCCAATAGCCAGGAAGGATGGAATCCATGCGCCCTTCTACATCTGCATCTCTGCAAAAGGTCCACAGCTCAAGCTGCTTCCCTCCTCAGCCTCTACAAATGTTTGGAAAGGCTGTGATCTTTTCTAAGATTTATTTATTTATTTATTAGAGAGAGAGAGCATGAGAGGGGGGAAGGGCAGAGGGAGAAGCAGACTCCCCGCTGAGCAAGGAGCCCGATGTGGGACTCAATCCTGGGACTCCAGGATCATGACCTGAGCCGAAGGCAGTCGCTTAACCAACTGAGCCACCCAGGCGCCCTAGGCTGTGATCTTTTCTTAGTACCTCAAAGCAGCCCCCTTATTCTGCTGACCTTGCCCTTCTGTCTGTCCCTCCTCCTGCCTGCGCTGGTCTAGTTAACTCCTACTTATTCTCCTGGACATCTTCTCCAGCCTTCAGCCCGAGGTGCATCCCTTTTGTCTGTGTGTGTGTGTGTGTGTGTGTTTAATTTAAATTCAGTTAGCCAACCTATAGTACATCACTAGTTTCAGATGTAGCGTTCAACACCTTTAATGTGTTTTTAGAACATCCTATGCTCAGGACTTGTCTATGCACTTATCAAACTTTATGGTAATTACTTATTCATTTCCCAATTAGACTGTGGCCTTCTAGACGTTGGGAACTGTGTCTGATTCATGGTTCCATTCCTTGTCCATGGTCTCATTCATAAACAGAGAGAAGTATTTGTTGAATGAGTGAACATGGAATCTGTGGTCATGTTGTTGACTTGGCTTTCTGCGCCGAGTTCAGGACAAATGCCAAAGCCTTTTCCCCTAATAATGTCAAAGCCCTACTTCTAACATCCTTCATTCTAAAACCAGACAATGTGATACCCTTCCACAAACAGACTCAGTAAAGAAATATGAATATGCATGCAGAAAGCTCTTTAGGTCAGTTGTTGTTTTGGTAATAATAAAAGTTTCATGCAATACTAGATACAAATGATAATGACTTAACATATATTTATAAAATATGGAAGTGAACCTTACTTAATGGATAGCCAGATCAACTGTATAGTTGATATGAACAGAGTAGCAGAAATTGGTCAGAAAAGTTCTTGACTGCACATTCCTTTTTAGTGGTTTATTTTTTATCTTTTTTTCATTGACTCCAGTTATTTTGATGAGCAGTCTAACAGCCTTTTAAGTAAGGTGAAAAAACTTTTACTAATGCATGCTAACTTTGTCAATTTGTCCTTCCTTCTTAGGAGTAATAATAGTATTAAAATCTTTAATAACTGCCAAAAATATACAGTTGACCCTTGAACAACATGAGATTGAACCTCCTGGGTCCACTTACACATGGATTTTTTCCAATAAATACCGTATAGCCTTGAAAATGTATTTTCTTTTCCTTACGGTTTTCTTAACATTTTCTTTTCTCTATTTTAGTGTAAGAATACAGTATTTAATGCAAATAACATGCAAAATACATGTTAGTTGACTTTATGTTATTGGTAAGGCTTCGGATGATAGTAGACTATTAGTAAAGTTTTGGGGGGGAGTCAAAAGTTATGTGCTGATTTTGACTGTGGAGGTTTGGTGCCTCTAATACCCACACATTCAAGGATCAACTGTAGTTATTTTCCGTTTGTTCTAAGGTTGAAGTATTCCTTGTTGGTTCATCAAGAACTCTAATGTGTGGTTCTGACAAAATATGTAAGATCTCTTTCTGACTGACAGTTTAGTAATAGTTTTGATTCGATTCCTCAGTGGTTATGAATCCATGAAGACCATTCACAACAATAGTTTCGGGAGGCAGAAACTTTTTAAAAAGCTGCTTTTTTCTCTTTTATGTGGCTATTTTCTTTCAGGATATAGCGCTTGACATCTAGCATTCTGAGCCTTTATGATGCCGAACCATTTTAATGGGACTTTGTTATGGTTCTAAGAATTTTTGTCATCGGAAACAAATGATTTCACCAGAGAGAAAAATAGGGAACACTCTGTTTTATTGACATACTTACGCATTCCTTATTCTTCTCCTTCTCTCTTTTTTTTCAGTGAGCATGTTTTTGAACACATTAACACCGAAGTTCTACGTGGCCCTGACAGGCACTTCCTCACTAATATCAGGGCTCATTTTGGTAAGTGGTAGAATCCTTCCTATTTAAAAGTATGCTGATTACTAATATGTTAGTATATGTACAGGAAATAATTCTGGAAGAATATATACCGGCAGCTTATGGTGATTTATCTTGCATGTGTGTATATGTTGGATAGCTGGACTTACAGAGCCTTCCACTGCCCAGGTTATATATTTCTAAAATATTTGAAAAAAATTTAAATAGTCATATATTACTTTTGTTGAAGGGGAAAAACAAAATATAAATAAAATGGAAAATAAAGACAATTCTATGTCAAATTTTAGTGTCTTGAGATACTATAAAATACATGTGACTCAGTTCAACTAAAAATGTTTTTCTTCATTCTTTTCAAAATGGATTATTGGCCATAATCAAGATAAGTAGAAATATAGCCCCGTTTCTTTATTTTTTAATTAATTAATTAGATTCTATTTAAGTTCAAGTTAGTTAACATATAGTATATTATTAGTTTCAGGGGCAGAATTTAGTGATTCAGCAGTTGCATATAATACCCAGTGCTCATTAAATCAAGTGCCCTCCTTAATGCCCATCACCCAATTACCTCATCCCCCCCACCTCCCATCTAGCAACCCTCAGTTGGTTTTCTATAGTTCAGAGTCTCTTATGGTTTGCCTGTCTCTGTTTTTGTCTTATTTTATTTTTCCTTCCCTTCCCCTATGTTCATCAGTTTTGTTCCTTAAATTCCACATGAGTGAAATCATGGGGTATTTGTCTTTCTCTGACTGACTTACTTTGCTTAGCATAATACACTCTAGTTCCACCCCACATCATTGAAAATGGGGAGATTTCATTCTTTTTGTTGGTTGAGTACTATTCCATTGTACATATGAACCACATCTTCCTTATCCATTCGTCCGTTGATGGACATCTGGGCTCTTTCCATAGTTTGGCTATTATTGATAACGCTGCTATAAACATTGGGATGCATGTGCCCCTTCGAATCTGTATTTCTGTATCTTTGGGTAAGTACCTAGTAGTGCATTTGCTGGGTCATAGGGTAGTTCTATTTTTAACTTTTTGAGGAACTTCCATACTGTTTTCCAGAGTGGCTGTACCAGTTGGCATTCCCACCAACAGTGTAAGAGGGTTCCCCTTTTTTCACATCCTTGCCAACATTTGTTGTTTACTGAGTTGTTAATTTTAGCCATTCTGACTGGTTTTAGGTGGTATCTCATTGTGATTAGCCCAGTTTCTTTAAATGTATGAGGTGGAGATGGCAGTTCTAAGCTTTTCTTCCCTTTATCTTCTTTTCTTTTAAAATTTACATTTCCCTGTTTCTTTTCTTTAATTTCTTTTTTTTTTTTTTAAGATTTTATTTATTTATTTGACAGAGAGAGAGAGCACAAGCAGGGGGAGTGGCAGAGGGAGAGAGAGAAGCAGGCTCCTGACTGAGCTGGGAGCCCGATGTGGGGCTCGATCCCAGAACCCTCATATCATGACCTGAGCTGAAGGCAGAAGCTTAACCAAGTGAGCCACCCAGGCGCTCCCATTTCCCTATTTCTTTGTTTAAAAAATTCCAAGTAGGCAAAAGCAATGATAATCATCTCTATGGCTCCATTAGTTTATGCTCTAAATAATTACAAGTGTGTTAAATTATAATACCCGAAGTAGGTTTTTTTTTTTTTTTTTTTTAATTTAAGTGACCTTACATAGGGCCATCTAATTTACTGTAATCATGCTAATATAATTAAATGGCCTTTAAGGAGAAAGAAGTTTTAGAATGTTTTGTTTTTGTTTTTTTTTGTCTACACATAATGCTGTGATTACTAATTACTAATTTTTATAGAGATAAGAATAAGAAAGATATTACAGAGTTGATGTTAAGAGAAGAGCACTAGAAAAACACAAGTTTTAGGGGAGAAGGGCACAAAAACATGGAACAAATACATATACGAACCTAGAGCAATGGAGGGTAGAACAATGTATACAGGGCAGAAACCTGCAAACAGCTTAAAGGAATGGTGGTGGCTTGGGGAGCAATTTTTTTTGTGTGTGGTCAAAGCATATTCAGGTTAATCTTGCTCTGTGTATCACATGGGTTGCTGGACTCAAGGGAGGAGATGTTTGAAGTTGATATTACTGGGCCAGGAATGTGAAGAACATCAGCAAGAACCACTCCAAGATGGTTATATAAATGGAAATCTGCATAGAAAGCCCAGTACTGAGCAGAGACCAAGCCAAGGTGAAAGGAAGTGTATTAAAACTTCTCCTTGGGGCGCCTGGGTGGCTCAGTCGTTAAGTGTCTGCCTTCGGTTCAGGTCATGATCCCAGGGCCCCGGGATTGAGCCCTGCATGCAGGGAGCCCGCTTCTCCCTCCCCAACTCCCCCTGCTTGTGTTCCTTCTCTCGCTGTCTCTCTGTCAAATAAATAAATAAAATCTTAAAAAATAAATAAATAAAACTTCTCCTTGACATGGGTTGAAATAAGGTATGTATAGTAGTTTGTACCCTATTGCCTCTTAAATGCAGATCTGCACACCCATCAGTGTCTCTAAGTCTTCTCTGTTCTGTGGGGACATGCGAAAAATAGGGATACTGGAAAGAGTTGTTCACAAAGCTATAAGGTGATTTGCTTTAGCTCATGTTAGTTTGTGGCAAAGCCAGGCCTAGAACCTATGTCCTCAGGTTCCCACCTGATATTCTTGATGGACTGAAGAAACTTCAAACTTAGAAAATGTTTTCAAATGCTTGATAAATGATTAATAAATATGTGCTGAACATGGCAACCTTTTAGCATGTATATTTTTGGGGGGAGAGGAGAAGGTATTCCAAGTCCCCATCTAATAATTATTTACATTTAAAATAATATTTTAATATTTTCTTTCTAAAATATCTTTGAAATATTTTTTGATTAGACAAACCAAAAAAAGTGAACTTTTAGGTACAATATGAATAGCAATTTCATGCTAAAATCAATAATTCACTCTGATGCAGAAAGTAGCTTTTTGTTTGTGTGTTCTTCTCTCAGGGATGTTTACTTCAGAACGTTTACCCACTTCGATGGTGCTTACTGTGTGCCAGGCACTGATCTAAGCACTTTACATGCGAATTGATTTACTCCTCACAACAGTAGGAGGAGGTAATTGCCAGCCTTGTTTCCATTTTACTAATGCATAGGCTGAATAGGTAGCACAGGCAAGGAAGTAACCTGCTTGAGATCATCTTGCTGGCAAATAGTGAAAAGCAGGATTTCAGCCCAGGCAGGCTGTCACTCATTTCACCACCTTCTGGTTCAGTTCTCAGCTGTTTTCCTAGCTTGCTGAACAAATGGCAGGCTGGATTTTATCTTGGTGTGTGGGGGTTGATTTCCAGAGTGTGGGTGATTTCCTTTTTCTTGGTAAGCTAGGTCCAGCAGTCATTTTACCTGCTAAGTCAGGGAGGCGAAGTCCCATCCTCTTACTTTTCGTGTTCTCCAAATGAAGGGATTTTGGTAGAGTGGGACCCCCTGTGCCGGACCCCCTCTCCCTGTGTGCGGAGGGCAGCTGCTGAAACCTGACGGGCACTGCAGCGCATCTCAGGCGGTAGCTGTCCTGCAGCCTTCTCAGGAGGCACAGGATGTGCCTGCTGTGGAACTTGGAGCACTGGAAAACCTCTGATGTTTGAAGATTCTGAAAGACCTTTCTCAAAAATGCTTGGTCTGTACTGAGGGTGAAATCACTAGATGCGGGAATAGTTCTTGATAGCTTTAGGCTCCTGCTTTAGAGATTATGGGCATTGGTGTTGTCCTGCCTTTGGGGACTTAGCTTTGCTAGCCCTTGAAATGTACCCAGGGTTGAGGTTTCTATTTAGCCACTGTTCTTTTTGGCCCAGAGCATTCATGGAGAGGCAGCATTGAGGTAAAGGATCAGGTGCTTAGCGGTTTGTTTCCTGGCACAGAGAGACAATTACCTAACTACTCTCCCCTGAGCAATGGAAGGGGAGACAGACAGTGAATGCTGAAAGTACAGGGATGCCCCAGGGGACATGGTTGTTTGGGGACCTCAGGATTCTTATGCTGGAGACTGAAATTGTCATGCAGTGTGATGTCTTAGGGGAAGAGGGGTAAATAAAAACAAAAACACCCTGAAAAAGTCATCTAAGTGAACAAATATACATAAAAATAAAATGTGTTTGGGGGCGCCTGGGTGGCTCAGTCGGTTAAGCATCTGCCTTTGGCTCAGGTCATGATCCCAGGGTCCTGGGATCAAGCCCCGCATCGGGCTCCTTGCTCAGCGGGAAGCCTGCTTCTCCCTCTCCTTCTACTGCTCCCCCTGCTTGTGCTCTCTCGCTCTCTCTGTCAAATAAATAAAATCTTTAAAAAAATAAAATAGAATAGAATAAAATGTGTTTGGCAATGCTACTGTCTTTTATACCAGTGTGTTTAAAAATAAATGAGGACTAATCCCAATCAGTGTGTATTTTACTAGATACTACTGCTAGTTCTTAATTTTGCAGGTTGAAACCAGCAAAGAGTTTGGACTTACCACCTACCTTTCACTCTTCCCTTTTGGTCCTGTGCCCACATACCCATCTGGCCAGCTCTCTCCCTTGCTTAACTCCAAGTGGCCCCTCTGCCCTCTTGGCACAAGCCTCCCGATCTCAGTCCAATTCCAGCCCCAGGAACTGCACCTGTCATCACAGTCCAAACCCACCAATTTAGTCTTTTAGTTGCTCTAGCAAGGACATGCCCAGTCTGCTTGAAGTAGCCTCTCAGAATAATGTTAATTTCAATTGAGAAAATTTCTGGGTTTTCTTTTTGTTTTTGAGAGTGGTAAGGTGGTTATGTGGAGAAAATGCTCCCCTTAATTTTTTTTTTTAAAGATTTTATTTATTTATTTGACAGAGAGAGACACAGCGAGAGAGGGAACACAAGCAGGGGGAGTGGGAGAGGGAGAAGCAGGCTCCCCGCAGAGCAGGGAGCCCGATGCGGGACTCGATTCCAGGACGCTGGGACCACGACCTGAGCTGAAGGCAGTCGCTTAACCAACTGAGCCACCCAGG